CCAAAACAGAAATATTTTTACTTTTTCAGAAGTACACTACTTCTGTCTGAGAAGTATGCTGTTGGTTCAAAATTTTCTTCTAAGCAGAAGAGTGGGCTTATTTTATGGTGGGACATCATTAATAAAACGTGTACACTTCCATGCAAAAAAGCACAAAAAAACACACCAAAAAAACATTTATTTGGTGTTTGAACACGTTCGGAGTCATTCAGAGTATGCCTAGAAGTATATTTAACTTCTTTTGTGGCTAGTCTTATGTATCTTTTCATAGGTGTGTTATTTGATTCATTAGCTTACATCAATAACTTAGAAGGGATTTGGCATAACTTGCATGTATTCTACAAACTGCGGCACACACAGCCAAAGATGTTCAGCGTATGAAAAGAATACTTCGTTTGTTGAGTTTTGATTACGAAGTAGACAGAAAAGATACCTGGCAAAAAGATGGTCCAAAGCGAGCCGTCACTCCAACGGGCCGAAGGCCCGTTTTCGGATAGAAGATGTATTACACCATGAAGGTTCAGAAGGGACGGGCCGAAGGCCCGTCCCAAACGCCGCCGGCAGGCCAAGCTGGGCCCACTCCCTGCCGAACCGAGTTGCCGGTGGAGCGAAGCGGAGCTGGCAACTTGGTTTGGCGGAAGAGCGGGCCCAGCTTGTTTAAAGTGCAAATGTCTTGATTCAAGTGCTATGGACTTGTTTTGTACCAGTGTGTTGGGTGTGGCGTTGTGGACACAGAGCGGTGAGGCAGGCGTTCGACCAACGGCGACCTCGCAAGCGTCCTCGTCCGGAATCGACTTAGCCGTCGACCATGCTCGGGCAGCGCCGGTCAGATAATGCGTGTTGAGATGAGCACTTTCTCATACATGTAATGGAGGATTAGTCTCACTCAATACAATAGCAATATGTATCTGAATGTGTGCGTGTTAGTTGGTAACACCTGTTGTGCCTCAGTTGGTATGTCGGAGATTGTGTGTAGGGGCATTCTCTTTCATCTACCCATCTATCTATTAGCGTGTGTTCTGGGCTGTTCCATGGGCTGGCGTCACTCTTTGTCTGGAAGCTGACCTGTGTGGTTGTGTTGTACTGAACCTACCCGCGTGGAAAGATTTACAGTTTGAAATACACTTGTGGACTGCAGCTGAACTTTTGCTAGAACCTTAGTGTGAGCATAGTATTTGTACGGAAGTAATGTTGGTATTTTACAAACACAAATGTAATTTGCAAGTACAATAAGAGTGCATACGAACTGCATCTGGCATCATGCACTTTAAGTGTAGTTATTTAATAGAAAACTATAGTTAAATGACAGTCAACTGCAGTTTAACTGCAGTCAATCTAAAACAAATGTGCAAAGATTTGGAACACTCCTCACTTTAACTGCAGTTTTCGCGCACTCTATCTACAGATGTAAATATAGTTCGATCTACAAGTTGTCTGTGTTTCGGACTATAATTAAACTTAAGTGTCAAATGATTCTAAATCATAGTGTTAAAAATATCTTTTTCCCTCTCTGGGTCTTTCTTTCTCCCTCCTATTCAATTATTTACCTCATATCGTATCATTTCAGTTATTACCTCATAGTTATAACACTGGTTGTACTTTGGATGTTGACGGGAGTTGAACCTCGGACTTCGGTGTTGGGAGCCCGGTACGCTGACCACTGAGCCACTGCGACACGATAGCTCTGGTGCCGCAGTAACCTGGTGTCATGCCAAGGGTCCCGGCCCGTCGGCCTACTTGTCTAACTACAGTTTAACTACAGTTTCTCTGTAATTCAACTGTGGCAGTTTGGAGTTCCCTATCCTTGTCCGTTTTTTTTTTTTTTTTCGTGAATAAACCCGTTTATAATTATAACGTCCTCTTCCCTGGTCGATATCACGAATAACAGAACTTCGCCTCTAGTAAAGCGATTCTTAACCGGGAAACAGAAATTTCGTTGGCGTTAGGGTGAGGTACTTGGGTAGCGACCCCGCTAAGGGGCATATTTCTGCTGTACGCATACGGAGGAACCACCGGTTGTTTGGCAGGACTAAGAGGCAGGTAGGCCCTAGGAAGGGCGCGCCTAGGCTAGGCGACGTAAAACCCCACCGACCAAGGAATCGACAAACTCATCGCACAGGTGAAGCAACGAGGGAGTACTGTCGCTCAAAAGACGTTCTGAGTGTACGTTGTCACATAAAGTCGACTTATATTTTAAGTGCAACAGATGCACAGTTCAAAACTGTAAACTATATTTGCGGTTTTCAGTCTAAGATAACAACAGTCTGATTGAAACATAACTGAAAAAATAACTGCTTTGATGAATTGCAGCAGTATTAAAATCGAAAGTATGGCAGTTTTATACTTGAAAATTATGTTTAAGCGCAGTTTGTAACACTAAAATGAAATTCATTCGTAAGACTCAAATATCTGTTCTAAGACTGTACTTATAACTATAGTTTCAACTTGTAGAGCGCAATGCAGCCAACATTGTTAATGTAAAAGCAGTGTGACTGCTGTCATTACATAAATGGAATTACGGAACAATTAAGAGTTAAGAGATGCATAATGACTACAGTTAACCTATAGTTTCAGATAGTATATCGCAACTGCAGTTCGATGTCTACAGTTTTAACTACAGTCATAATGCACATCCTTCCACGCGGGTATCGTGAATACAGAGATTTGAGTTTCACCGAACTATGTGTCTCAATTATCAAACCAATGCCCAAATCTCAACAGGTTATGGGCCCAGCGAATACTCTGTTTGAATTAGTGAAAATAAGTGAAGGATTAAATACTGAATGGATTATTGTGCAAGTGACTGAAGGGAGACGCGGCCGGCGTCCCCGTGCTGTCAACAAAGCAAGCAAAAGCAAAGAAGTGTTTTAAGTGAAGTCAAATGACTGCTGAAGCAAACTTAGAAGTGTCTGGGAAGAGTATGGAATCAAAGAGAATTAAAATCCAGAGTGAAAAGTGAAGCTGGGAAACTTAAATACTCAAGTTGTGAAATTATCAAATATGGCGACGGCTGTGGTCTGTCCCTTTGTTCTGGAATGTGAGTCTGAAATGAAGTCAATAATTTCAAAACATGAAATGGATATGTGAGTATCTGAGTTATGGAAGTAAAGGACGGAAAGTGAGTACAACAATTGTCTTTTGAATGTAAGAAAAAGTTCTCGTAAAACCAATTGAGTCGAGAGTATTCCCCCTCCTATCCTGAATGTGAGTAATGTTTGTTTGGTATGGTACAGTCCACAGAAATGCATTTCTTTTTACTGCATCTGATCATCAAATGGTATTTCTATGTTCGAAGTGATGATGAACTAAATGAAATTAGGGATTTAATTAACTCATATAAGCTTCTGGTGAGCATAATTCTCCTCAGTTCCAGTTTTATGTGGGAGTAGCTGTAATTCCAGAGTTGTGCATCATATGCAGTAATTCCAGAGAATATTCTGGCGTGTGTTGCCTTAATCATACAATTTTCCTAGAATATGTGTTGGTGAGATCCTTTGGAGTGAAGTGTAATATGATTTTCAGTGCCTGAGTGTAATGTTGAATTAATTTTATTATTTGAATGTGTCTTAAAATATATGTTTTTTTAAAAATAAAAGGAGGCTGTATAATTTATCAAGAGTACTGAAACAATTGATAAATGTGGCATAAATAAGTACAATGAAACAGTGAGTGATAACAATATAATTTGTTTATAAATGGCACACTATGGGTGTGGTCATAAGTATTTGATTCTAGAGGATCAAGGTTCATGGCAGAGGTTCTGTCCAGTGGAGATGTTCTATAAGGAATGATGTTGAATGCACGTAGAGGTTCTACGATGCTGATAGAGGTGTGTAGAGGTTCTACACTAACAGATTACGTAGAGGTTCTACGGATTAATAAATGGTCACTGGCGTAGAGGTTCTACGTTCAGGCAGGCGTAGAGGTTCTACGTTCAAACCTGAGAACTGTGTAGAGGTTCTACACATAACAAAGAAAGAAGGAAATAAAATAAAATAAATTGATTAGTTAAGAGCTAACATAAAATTGAAAAAAAAAAAAACAAAAAAAAAGCAACATTGATATAGAAGTCTCTAGTCCTGTGAATCAAAACTGAAAATGAGAAGTGAAATGAGAGTCTGAGGAATGTAAAACTGAAATCTAAACTTGCAAATTGAAAGTAGAAAGAATAGAATTGGTAATCAAAAGTGAAATTGAAATCATTTGAAATGTTAAGATGTACCAACAAATTACTGACTTAAAACGTTCAAAAGTTGAGGTATTATGACTGTCTGCTGAATGAAAAGTATGTGGACTGAGAGCAATTTAGAAGAGTTAAAAAAAAATTATTAAAGCGAATCTGAGTGAAGAAACTCGGCTGTGCTGCTTTGGGCAGGATCCCAACCTTGGAAAGGTTGGTCACCCAAATAAAAAATGTTTCGGTAAAGTTACACAGAAAATGAAATGAACCCGAGATACTTTATGTTAAGAGTGATAGGTGTTGCGAAGTGTGTTTAAATTGTGAAATAAAAACATGAACATGTAAATGTAACAATCAAAATGACTGTACACTAGACAGTTTGTAATAATTTTGGGGTTGGTACCCCTAACCTACAGTTTGTGTAGTTGTTTCTGAATTTTAGACAGGGCAGTGGCGGCCGGTGAGCAGTAGTAAACAAAGATAAGTTTTTGAATTTATGATCTGTTATTTCATGTTTTGTGTGATACATAAGCAGTGTCATCAGTCTCAAAGGATATTTTTGTTGCAGGAAAGTTATTATGATTTTACATGGTGGAGTAGCATTCTTGATAATCAAGAAACCTTTGGAAATCTATAAAATCAACAGCTGAGGTAAATGTGTAAGACAACTGTTACATTTCATGATGTTAGCAAAAAGTAAGAGTAAGAGAAAGGAAGTTCAGATAACTGTGGAAAAATGTAGTTACTTGTTTTTGGAATCGTAAAGACACCTACTTGGAATGTGAAAGTTTGGCAAAAGCTATTCATTGAAGAGTGCTAGGCTGTAGAGGTTCTACGGTTCTATGCAAAGTGTCGCAAAGTCAGAGAATATAAACGGAAAGTGAACTAGTTGATGTGCATTTGTGCCAACAGTCTGAATTAATCTAAAGTATAATGATCAATGAAAAAGATTATTGACTGTAACGTTTAAGAGATGGTGATGTATGTTGATTATGATTATGTGTGAATGTTTTGCAGTTGCCAAGAGTATGTGGTTTGTCACGGTAATTTATCAGTTCTAAAGATTGAAAAAGTAAGTTGATACAATCTAAAATGATAGGTAATGAATATCTGGAGTTTGTAAGCACTGTTAAAAAAAAATTAAGAAAATCCCAGTTTTGGGCTGTGAAACGCTCGATTCTCAGTCGTTGAGTCGGGAAATTGCTAAGCCATGGAGGGTTAAATTTCCGTAACCAATTTAATCGGGTTTTCCTGAACCCAGTGGGCTGGTAATCAGAAATATAGCATCCAACTCGTAAAATTCAAGTTGTGGCATGGGGATTTCTGTTTCGAAACCCACAACTTGAAAATTCAAGTTGTGGCATCGGGATTGCACCTAGTCTCATGTCGACCACTTTGAACCGATAAAAAAAAATTGCCCCAAGGTGGAGTTGAACATAGGCCTATAAGTTCCCAGTCCTGCTCTGTACCCCTAAGCTACACAGCGCTCCTTGACGAGCGAGTGGCTGACGACCCACTTAATGTAAGCGTTGCCCCAGTAGAACGTCTGAAATTCAAGTTTTGGCACTAGGAATTACATTTACAGTTTATGGGTCCGGATATTCCGCCCTGTGGGTGTGTGATACCGAATCAGTTGCTCAAACTGGAAAATCCCAGTTCCATGTACCATAGGAATTCAAGTTGTGGCTTAGTAAATTATAAAACTGAAGCCAACTTCTAATTTTCTGTAGGTAGAATGGAATTTTCAACATCACAATTCCAATTCTACAATTCCAAATGGACTTGAAAACCTCGAGTTGGATCGAGGATTAGCATTGCCTAGTCTAGTGGGTTGGGAATTAAAATACCCTGCTGGTGACTGGAAAGTTCAAGAACCAATGGGTTCAGAATTTTCTTCATATTTTTTACAGTGAGGTTTCATAACCTAAACAAAATATTTTTGAAACTAAATTTCTTGATACTGAAAGTCATAACAGATACAACTGAAAAATAAATGATAATGATTTAAACGGAGTGTTTTTATGTTGTAAGTAGCGCTGATATGTATTTACATGAGAAAGAAAATGAGTAATGTTTTTTTTTGTTTTAGTGTTTGCTGTTGAAAGACAGAATTCAATATGGGTTAAGAAAATGCAAGTGTTCTAATATGTGCTGAGTAAGGAGAAAACTGAATGAGTAATTACAGGTGTATATGAGTACAATTTGTTCTAAACCCCAGGTTGGTTAATAATAGTGAATTGGATCAGAAGTCACTACGTGATTTGGAAAGATAATTGTTGAAATTTCAATGAAACGCTGAATGAATGTTTGTATGTTTGTTAAATATCTGCATTGTTCCCTTATGGTAAAATGAACTATTTGTTTTTATATCATCATCAATCAACAATACTATACAACTGCGCTCCCACTCACTGACTCACT